CTCCTGATCCGCGGCTGTTTACCACAAACACAACATTTATCCATTATTTTGATTTCAAGTCCAAACGTCGTTTCTGAAAATGCTTTTTCAGCATTGTGATTCTCTTTTATCACAGTGCAGTAATACAATCTTTCATAGACATATTCACGTTTAAACTCAATAAATATAACTTTGTTTAACTACCACCACGAGTGCCATCTATTATTGCCTTGTTTATCTAAAAGTGCACTTTTCCTTGTTTTAAATCTAGCCAAAAAGCCATGTGTTGACTGTGAAACAGTAGACTTTAATTATATGCATTTATGGTGTAATTTCTCAATTTCAGTGTCAATCCATGTTAATTTTTTACCACGAATAATGCATGCAGCACAGCAGAAATAGATTCCGTGCGGAAACGATCGCAGCATGACTGCTGCAGACGCACCGCTCCTGGAGCGCACTGCCGGACCACAATCGCGTGCAGTGTGAACGCTCTGATCCGTTAACATGGGCGCGGACAAAATACGCACCACAGACGGAGTGTGTGAACCTGCCCGCCTGGTCTGTTCTGTTCTTGTGCTCCATTTAGGCGTGCTGCATTCTGATTGGTTCGGATAGCATACTGCAGGAGGTCGGGGGCGCGGAAAATCGTGCTATAAAGCGATTTAGAAATCGCGCATGCTCAAATCGTGATTTTATGACGATTTCGATTAATTGCACAGCCTTAGTTCAAACTGAGCTTTGCTTAAAATAACGTCTTGAGACCGCTAGTGAAAATGCTCCTCATTCGTGTGCTTTTGTTTGATTAAATACAACGTTTTTCATTGCGAATTATAAAATCAGGATTAAAGCCAACATGATTCGAGGACGTTCCAAAATGCATCTTTTGTTCGTGAAAATAAGCAAGAACATCTGTCCTTTTCAGGATTCCCACCGTTGGAAAAATCATGGAATTTTAAAATTGTGATCGCAAAGCCTGGAAAATTTCTTAACATATAATGAAATCTTTAAAAGTGATGAAAAAGTCTATTAAATATATTAAAATTATAATGTAATGTATAATAATATATTTTAAGATAATATGTGCGCCTGCAGCACAAAAGCAGTGTTAAGTCGCTGGGGTATATTTGTAGCAATAGCCAACAATACATTGTATGAGTCAAAATTATCAATTTTTCTTTGTTTATATTATAGATGCCAAAAATCATTAGGATATTAAGTTAGGCTCATGTTCCATGGAGATATTTTGTAAATTTCCTACCATAAATATATCAAAACTTCATTTTTGATTAGTAATATGCATTGCTAAGAACTTCATTTGAACAACTTTAAAGATGATTTTCTCAATATTTAGATTTTTTTGCACCCTCAGATTCCAGATTTTCAAATAGTTGTATCTCGGCCAAATATTGTCCGATCCTAACAAACCATACATCAATGGAAAGCTTATTTATTCAGCTTTCAGATGATGTATCAATCTCAATTTTGAGAAATTGACCCTTATGACTGCTTTTGTGGTCCAGGGTCACATATTGCATTTAATAAATCTAGCTCTTTTGTAATTTAGAAATATTAAAAGAGCTGAATCTTCAATATTTCTTCTTCATTTTCCTAATTGTAATATTTTTTTTACAAATCCTATATATATATATATGTGTGTACTAATAAACAGCCAATATGTTAGTAATATGCATGCTAATTAATAGTGAGAATTGGTCCTTAAAATAAAGTGTTTCCAAATTAAACACTAAATAAGCAATCAGCAGATTCTCTACAAAAAAAAAAAAAGATTCTGTCTAGTCTGTATTATATCTTTTTTTCCCTCGACCACATCAGGAGTTGTGTAATGTGGTAGACTGGTAGTACAAACGATGTTTATTGCAATATTACCAGTTTATTACCCCTAACCAGAACATTTGCTTTACTTTGCATGTAGATGGGGTACCTCAAAAAGGACTCCGACGGGTCCCTCAACTACACTGTTGTAAATCAAGATCCTGAAGCAGAGGGTATGAGCATCACTTTATATAGTGGACTATATGTATGTGTGTGTGTATGTGTGTGTGTGTGTGTGTGTGTGTGTGTGTGTGTGTGTGTGTGTGTGTATCTTACCGACCCGTAACTTTTGAAAAGGAGTGTGAAATATCTTATTATACAATATATAATAAATGTTTTTGTTTTTCAGAAAAGGAACATGCCGATTGATGACACTAAGTCTAGTTTATGTGACATGCCGGTGAGAATTATATATCTTTTGTGCAATACGTTTCAAAGTATGACATTGATGACATTTTCTCGATGTTTCGATAGGGAACAGATGGAAGCAGCATAGAAGCTGGTTCAGTGCTGGATTTCATGAGCATGAAGAGCTACCCAGACAATCCTCTAGATATGCTCAACACGTTACGTGAGTCCTATATCACGCATCTAAACCTCCCGGCTGCGCAGGCCTTTGCTCTAGCTGAACCTGGGTGTTTTCTGATCTGCAGGTAAATGTGTGAAGAAGGAGCCGGAGCATGAAGACGGTCATCAGCACTTTGACGACGCAGCCAAACTTCTGCAGGAGTTTCAGGATGCAGCGGTGGACCGAGTCGGATCCCGACCGTCCTCCAATCTCTCGTCCCTGTCAAACACTTCCGAGAGGGATCCGCACCATTTAGGTACTGAGTCATAGTTATAAGGCAAAATCGCACATTATTTCAGTTGTTTTGAGGCTTTCTAAAATTAAAACAAAATGAAAGAAAAGTCAAACAGGAAAGTGCCTAACCCTGTAAAAGCATGACGTGCATGAAGCATATGAAATGATAGTCAGAAATATCTAATTATTTTAAATGGAACAGTGTATTGAACCTTTAGACAAAATATGTTTTTTAAATCAAAAAAAAAAAAGTTTGCATATTTTTTTTTTTTAGTTGAGTGTCATATTTGATCTGTCAGGCTTTTATGGATCATACAGTATGATATAGTAAGAATATGAAGTAAAAAAGAAAACAGCTCTTTATTTCAGAGACTCGAACTGAGCAAAAATATGCAATTTGGTGCAGGTGCTGATATTTATATGATGAAATCTGATTCTTGTAATGTAAATCGGGTTTAAATCTTTTTATTAAGGTATTCAATGAAACAATCCAATAGTTATTGTTAGATACCATGATTTCAGTTAT